AGTCTCAGTGCCTCAGTTTCCTTGTCTCTAAACTTGAAACAGTAGGGATAACCCCCATAGGACTGTTATGAGGATTGATGAGTGTATTACCTAACGAAAACATTTTGTACAGTGCCTATCCCATAGTAAGCACCCAATAAGTGCTTGCTGCATTTGTTAATACTACAGATTTTTAAGGTGCATGTCTTCTGTGTTTTAGAGTCTTTCTTTTTTTTGTTTCCAGACTTAATTTGTTAATGTAGTTGAATGTCTTCACATGATAAAAATTGTTTCTCCACATACAGAAATTATTGACTTATCTTTTTTTATTTACTTATCTTTTAAAAATTTGAATGTTTCCTTAAAAAAACAAAACCAAACTAATAACTTGCTATCACTTACCATGCTGATGTGTTTTATCTCAAACAATAATAGGTCAGCATTACCTTTTCCTCTAATAATGGGGGATTTGAGGCTTGTCATATGAATAAAACTGAGCACTCACTAGAGGTGTTGGTTGTTGGTTTAAGGTAACTGGTGTATTTTTCAGAGTTGGTTGCAAGCAAAACCTTTCAGGGTAGAGCAGTGGTGAGAGCTACAGTTCTTTAGATTTCAGTTTCTCCTTTGTGGAGTAAGTTTATTATCTGCTGCTGTGATTGCTATGTGAGTTTAATAAGTTAGCATATGTGATGTCCACAGTATGGCGCTTAGCATATATGAAGCACTTAATATTCTGAGACAGTAATTAGAGAAAGATAGAGTTTATTTTAAAAAATCTCATTTTTGGTCACCTAATATTTAATCTGAATATATAAAGTTCTCTGGTAATAGCCAGAATTAAAACTGTGGTTCTCACTTGTGTGTTGTTTTAATGTATTTCAGAAAAGGTAGGAAATTTGACACGAGAGGAATTGTAGACTATATATAGGATGATAGCGATCATCCTTCATTATTTAACAATAGTAAAAACAATACTTCTAATATTACCTTATGTTTTATAGTACTTTATAATTTACAAAGGTTTTTTGTCTATCATCTCTCAATAAATCATCATAGTAATTATTGGAATGCTGTGTGTGTGCTAAGTCGCTTCAGTCATGTCTGTTTCTTTGTGACCCTGTGGACTGTAGCCCGCCAGGTTCCTCTGTCCATGGGACTCTCCAGGCAAGAATACTGGAGTGGGTTTTCATGTCCTCCTCCAGGGGATCTTCCCCACCTAGGGATCAAACCTGGGTCTCTTGGGTCTCCTGCATTGGCAGGCAGGTTCTTTACCACTAGCACCACCTGGGAAGCTCATTTGTTGGAAGGTCAGATGTTAACAGATGACTCCCTAGGTTCTGAGAGGAGAAGTATCTTGTCCAAGTTTTCCTTTTGAGGGACCAGAACATAGCCCTTTTTCTTTGCATACAGTACGCTTGGACTGTGGCTTGGTGGGCTCAGGTGTGACTTGATAATCATGTTGTTGTTGAGTCACTAAGTTGTGCCTACTTCTTTGCAGCCCCATGGACTGTAGCCCACCAGGTTCCTCTTTCCCTGGGATTTCCCAGGCAAGAATATTGGAGTGGGTTGCCATTTCCTACTCCAGGGAATCTTCCCAGACCAGATACTGAATCCACGTCTCCTGCATTGACAGGCAGATCCTTTACAGCTGACCCACCTGGAAGTCCTGTAGCTATCGCTGTTGTTGGTCAATTGCCAAGTCATGTCTGACTCTTTGCAGCCCCGTGGACTGCAGCCCGCCAGGCCTCTCTGTCCCTCTCCATTTCTCGGAGTTTGCCCAAGTTCATGTCCATTGAATTGGTGATACCATCCAACCATCTCATCCTGGGTCGCCCTCTTCTGCTACCTTCAGTCTTTGCCAGGATCACAGACTTTTCCAGTGAGTCGACTCTTCACATCAGGTGGCCAAAGTTCTGGAGCTTCAGCCTCAGCATCAGTCTTTCCAGTTCAGAGTTGATTTCTTGTAGGATTGACTGGTTTGCTCTCCTTGCAGTCCAGGGGACTCTTAAGGGTCCTCTCCAGCACTGCAGTTGAAAAGCATCAATTCTTTGGTGCTCAGACTTCTTTATCGTCCAACTCTCACATCCATGCATGACTCCTAGAAAGACCATAGCCTTGACTATACAGGCCTTTGTCAGCATAGTGATGTCTTTGCTTTTTAATACTCTGTCTAGGTTTGTCATAGCTTTCCTTCCAGGAAGCAATCATCTTCTAATTTCATGGCTACAGTCACTGTACACAGTGATGGTAAGTCCCCTAGTTATCATGCATCTCATCAATTAAAATTATATCTCTCCCTAAGTCCTTCAGTTATTTCAGTTGCTTAGTTGTGTCCGACTCTTTGCGACCCCATGAACCACAGCACACCAGGCCTCCCTGTCCATCACCAACTCCTGGAGTTTACTCAAACCCATGTCCATTGAGTCGGTGATGCCATCCCACCGTCTCATCCTCTGTCATCCCCTTCTCCTCCTGCGCTCAATCTTTCCCAGCATCAGGGTCTTTTCAAATGAGTCAGCTCTTCACTTCAGGTGGCCAAAGTATTGGAGTTTCAGCTTCAAAATCAGTCCTAACAATGAATACCCAGGACTGATCTCTAAGTCCTTAGTCTTTCTTAAATGGCATAATTGAAGTCTTTCTTCCCTGCCCATTCATGCTTTCTTGGTTTTCCAAGGCTAACAGATTTCTCGTAGGTATACAGCCCCATAGTTTTTTACTTCTCAGACTTTTTCAGGTAAAATGGGCAATGTAAATATTAAGAGTATACTATACAGAGGCTATACCATACAAAGCCTTTGACTGTATGGATCACAAAAAACTGTGGAAAATTCTGAAAGAGAAGGGAATACCAGACTACCTGACCTGCCTCTTGAGAAACCTATATGCAGGTCAGGAAGCAACAGTTAGAACTGGACTTGGAACAACAGACTGGTTCCAAACAGGAAAAGGAGTACGTCAAGGCTGTATATTGTCACCCTGCTTATTTAACTTATATGCAGAGTAGTATATCATGAGAAACGCTGGGTTGGAAGAAGCACAAGCTGGAGTCGCGATTGCCGGGAGAAATATCAATAAGCTCAGATATGCAGATGACACCACCCTTATGGCAGAAAGTGAAGAGGAACTAAAAAGCCTCTTGATGAAAGTGAAAGAGGAGCGTGAAAAAGTTGGCTTAAAGCTCAACATTCAGAAAACTAAGATCATGGCATCCAGTCCCATCATTTCATGGGAAATAGATGGGGAGACAGTGACAGACTTTATTTTGGGGGGCTCCAAAATCACTGCAGATGGTGACTGAAGGCATGAAATGCAAAGATGCTTACTCCTTGGAAGGAAAGTTACGACCAACCTAGATAGCATATTAAAAAGCAAAGACATTACTTTGCCAACAAAGGTCCGTCTGGTCAAGGCTCTGGTGTTTCCAGTAGCCTTGCATGGATGTGAGAGTTGGATTGTGAAGAAAGCTGAGCACCGAAGAATTGATGCTTTTGAACTGTGGTGTTGGAGAAGACTCTTGAGAGTCCCTTGGACTGCAAGGAGATACAACCAGTCCATCCTAAAAGAGATCAGTCCTGGGTGTTCATTGGAAGGACTGATGCTGAAGCTGAAATTCCAATACTTTGGCCACATCATGAGAAGAGTTGACTCATTGGAAAAGACCTTGATGCTGGGAGGGATTGGGGGCAGGAGGAGAAGGGGATGACAGAGAATGAGATGGCTGAATGGCATCACCGACTCGATGGACATGAGTGAGTAAACTCTGGGAGTTGGCGATGGACAGGGTGGCCTGGCGTGCTATGGTTCATGGGGTCGCAAAGAGTGGGACACGACTGAGCGACTGAACTGAACTGATAGAGAGGCTGGAGAGTTACTTCACTCCCACCCACATCCTGGAAGAGAACCTTCCTGGTTCCCCAGCTCATGGAACTGCCTCGCCTCACCATGCCTCCCAACATTGCAGTGCCTGCTGCACTTAGCCACTGTCGCGACTTCTAGCACAGTAGGGTTTTCCCCATTTTTGACCTTACTACAAATAGTAACAGATCATGCAGCAGTGCTGTTTGTACATTGTCTTTCTCTCAGGCTTATCTTCGTGAGCTCCCTCCATACTGCTGCATGTGAAAGCTTAGCGGGGATTTAATTCTAATTGGGATTCGGCATCTCCTTCATTCTACCCTTAGTAGTGAGGCAGGCAGAGTAAGGGCAGCGTTTCTTCTGTGGTGTTCGGCTAGACTAGAGCAGTTACTTCTTGGCTTACTAGGTTGTCCCTCGTTGTCCTTTGGGTAAAGAGAGCAGGCTTCTCTTGGGGCTTTTTGTGTGTGTTTGTGTCCATTGGTGGTGTTGGATTGCCATCACCTCTAGTTACCAGTTTGGGAGATGGATGAGGCTGAAACAAAACCCAGGGCACTCACTGCTTCGGCACTCTTCATTTTGGGATCGCCTGCCATCCTTCCTCTTTCTTCTACTTTTCAGAGCCTTCTTAGTGTTGTATTTTTATACAGTGACCAGAGTTTTTAGCTGTGTTTAGTGGAGGATTAGGGAAAAGCACCCTGGCATCCCAGGTGGCGCTGGTGGTAGAGGACCCACCTGCCAGTGCAGGAGCCATAAGTGATGTAGGCCTGACCTCTGGGTCGGGAAGCTCCCCTGGAGAAGGAAATGGCAACTCACTCATTCCTGCTTGGAGAATCCCACGGACAGAGGAGACTGGCAGGCTATAGTCCATAGGGTTGCACAGAGTCAGACATGACTGAAACAACTTAGCACTCACTAGGGAAAAGCACATCTATTTTGTTTTTCTGGAAGTGAAAGTCTGTTTTATTTTGATACCTTTTTAATAAACTTTTATAGTCATTAGGAAAAATAAATGAAATATTTTATGCATACATGGTCAGCTAACATGTATTCACCAAAGCAATTAAATTTTTGGTAAAATATAACCTCATGTAATTTTTTTTTTAATATAAGGTACAAACCGAAGGATTTGAACTCTGTGTAAATTTAAATCGTTATGTTTACTGCAGAATCTTTTAGCCGAGAAAGTAGAACAGCTGATGGAATGGAGTTCCAGGCGCTCAGTCTTCCGAATGAATGGTGACAAATTCCGAAAATTTATAAAGGCACCACCTCGAAACTATTCAATGATTGTTATGTTCACTGCTCTTCAACCCCAGCGCCAGTGTTCTGTGTGCAGGTAATGTATGTATTTAAAAAATTAACTATTATTGTGTTATTATGTACTTATTACAGTTAAGATAAACGCATATAATAGACTTAAGCTTTGGTTCGGGCTTCTCTGGCAGTCTGCTGGTTAACGTTCCCTGCTGTCAATGCAGGGGGCACCATGGGTTTGATCCCTGGTTGAAGAATTAAGATTCCACATGCTGCACGGGGCATTAAAAAAAAAAAGAAACATTTGTTCAATGTTGTAGTCAGCTATAATTAAGTGCATTTAAATGTAAGCTCAAACTTAGTGTTTTCTGGGAGGTGATTTTGATAGGCTAATATTTTTATATTGTGTAGACCAATCCACAAGTAATCATAAAACAGATTTTTGGCTTGATGTCCTGTGTAGTTATGTATATTATGGAATTCTGTTTGAAAATTGCCTTGTAGATCACCAACTTATATCTCAGGGGCAGTGAAGTAGCCTGATTAAATACACTCAACTTAAATTGTTTAATAGAAAGATTTTAATGGACTTAAGTCAATTTACCTTTTAGTACCTCTAGTGTTGAGAATTTTGTTCCTGTGGTGTAGAAGTAAACAATTTGAAATGAATGAAATATTTTTCATTGGGAACATACCAAAGAAAGTTTTGGAGGAGTATAAATATATATACAACAGTGCTTATTTTACATAGATCTTTTAATTTTGAGATAGTTGTAGTCTTGCATGCAATTTTAAGACATGATACAGAGAAATCCTATATACCTTTTACTCAGTGACCTCCAGTGCTAACATCTTTTGAAGCAATAGCACAGTTTCACAAGCAGGATGTTGGTATTGATACAGTAAAGATGCAGAGCAGTTCTTCACAATAAGTCTCCCTTCTGGTGCCATTTATTGCCACACGCACCCTATCTCCCCACCTTCTGAATTTATTCTCCATTTCTATAATTTCATCATTTCAAGACTGTTATGTAAATGGAATCATACAACACATGACCTTTTGGATTTGGCTTTTTTTTTTATACTTTTAACTCCTTCAAAATCTATCCAAGTTGTTGCATTTATCAGCACTTCATTGTTTTTATTACTGAGTAATATCCTATGGTGGACTTCCCTGGTGGCTCAGCAGTAAAGAATTTGTCTGCCAGTGCAGGAGACATGGGTTTGATCCCTGGGTTAGGGAGAAGCAAATGGCAACCCACTCAAGTATTCTTGCCTGGGAAATCTTGTGGACAGAGGAGCCTGGTAGGCTGCAGTCCATGGGTCTCAAGAGTCGGACACGACTTACTGACTAAACAACAACAATATCCTGTGGTATGGATGTACTGCAGTTTGTTTAACCAACCATCTGTTAAAAGAATCCTAGGTGGTTTCCAGTTTTTGGCTATTAGAAATACAGCTGTTATGAACACTCTTGTACAGGTTTGTGTGCACTGAAGTTTTCATTTCTCTGAGATAAATTGCCAGAGTGTGTGATGGCTGAGTTGCATGGTAGTTACATGCCAAAATGTTTTCCAACGTGGCTGTATCATTTTATATTCTTACCAGCAGTGTGTGAAGGGCCTAGTTTTTCCATATCCTTACCAGCATCAGTGTTGTCATTGTTTTATTTTAGCCATTCCATGGGTATGTAGTTTTATTTTGTGGTTTTATTTTGCATCTCACTGATGTAATGGTGCTGAACATCTTCTCATTTACTTTTTTGTCATCTGTGTATCACCTCTTCACCAAAGTATCTGTTCATGTCTTCTGTGCTGTGCTTAGTTGCTCAGTCATCTCTGACTCTTTGTGACCCCATGGGCTGTAGTTCTCCAGGCTCCTCTGTCCAGGGGGATTCTCCAGGCAAGATGTGGTCCTTAAATATTTCCTCCTAGTCTATGGCTTGGCTTTTCATCCTCATAACAAGATCTTTTGCAGATTTCAATTTAGTGAGTCCAATTTTTCAGTTTATCTTTTACAGATCTTACTTGTCTTGTCAAATTGAACTCTTTGCCTAGCTCTCAATCACCAATTTTATTTTTTTTTCCTCTTATGTGTTTTTCGAAAAGTTTTAAAAGTTTTATGTTTTACATTTTCATCTGATCTCCGGGAGAAAGCATTCAGTCTTTCATCACTTATTATGTTATTAGCTGTTAGATTTTTACTAATGTTCTTTATAATTGAGAGGGTTCTTTACTAGTTTATTGAGAGCTTTTGTCATGAATGGGTATTGAATTTTGCCTAATTTGGGGAAGTTAATTGATAGGATTTTTCTTCTTTAGGTTGTTCATATGGTAAATTACATGGCTTCCCTAGTGGCTCAGATGGTAACAAATCTGCCTGTAATGCAGGATACCTGGATTTGATCCCTGGGTTGGGAAGATGCCCTGTAGAAGGGAATGGCTACTCATTTCAGTATTCTTGCTTGGAGAATTACATGGACAGAGGAGCCTGGCGGGCTACACTCCATGGGGTTGCAAAGAGTCGTACACGACTGAGTGACTAACACTGTGGTAGATTACAGTGGTTGATTTTCAGCTGTTGAATCAACTTTGCATTTTGGAATATATCCCGCTTGATTGTTATATTCTTTTTTAGCATTGCTGAATTGAATTTGCTGATATTTTGTTGAAGACTTTTATATTTCAAGTTCATGTCAGATGTTAGTTTATATTTTTCATTACTCATGCTGTCTTTGTCTAGTTTTGGTATCATGGTAATACTTCATAAAATACATTGGGAAATGTTCCCTCATTTATTTTCTAGAAGTAACTTGGGAAATTAGTTTTAGAAATTGTGTTAAATCTTTAAATGTTTGATCGAATTCTCCAGTAGAATTGTCTTGACCTGGAGTTCTTAAATTACATATTCCATTTCCTCAGTTGTTAAGGATAATTCAGTTTTTCTGTTTCTTCTTGGATTTTTCAATTTTTGTTTTTCAAGAACAAACACTTTTTATGTGGTGACTCCACATTCAGACTGTTCACATTGTGTATTTATATGTAGACTTTATTTGGATTTCTAAACCATTTTGAACTTTAGTGGAAAACAAAATCATTAGTAACATGAGCCAGTGGAAAAAAACTAATCAGTTTCTGTCAGACTAGCTTCCAGAAAGGGAATTTCAGTGTTCTGAAATTTTTATGAAAGATTTCATCACAATCTAGTAATGAGTGTATGTTGAGAAAGGTCAAGGTAGGTTAAAAAGATGATGAGCAAACTATTTTGAAAAACAGCATTTCAGATAATTCTGAGTCCCCTTCCTACCAATTTGAAGACCAGTACTTAAGTGGACATTAACATTTGTCAGCATTGGGCCAGCACTTAAGAACAGGGTATGTTTATGTTTATCTACGGGATGCTGAATATCCCTTGTGAAGCAAAAATACATCTTAACTGGCATTTGGTATAACAGTTCAAATTCCACAAAAATTCAGACTATCCTCTGGCATCCTGCAATGCCATATATTAATTTAGGGAAATCATTTCTTTGCTTCTAGAAACTGAATATATTGATTTTCTGTTTTCATTATTATGAAGAGATCTATTTAATTATTATATTTTTGCGACTGTAATCTAGAAAGGGCTTACCAATTGACTTAGTGGGAAAGAATCCACCTGCAATTCAGGAGACCGGGATTCGATCCCTGAGTCACTAAGATCCCCTGGAGAAAGAAATGGCAACCCACTCTAGTATTCTTGCCTGGAGAATTCCATGGACAGAGGAGCCTGGCTGGCTACAGTCCATGGGGTCATAAAGAGTTGGACATGACTTAATGACTAAATAACAACAGTCTAGAAAGATTTTATTATCCAAGTATTTATTTCACAGTTACATATAATTGTATGTTATTTGATAACATAAACCACAACATAATGTAAAAGGTATATCCTGTAGATAATAGTTGACTTAATGCATTATGTTGTTAAATTGTTAAATATGGACCCTCAATTTTTTAATGATGCTTAACTCAAAATAACCTGTATTTACTTGTTTATTATAGCCTGTTTTGTAACAAACTTAAATTTTAGAGTAGTTTTAGATTTATGAGAGAAAAAGATTGAAGTTATTAGAAAAAGTCATTTCACAGGTTAGAAAGAGGGTGAAGTTGTTAGAGAAGAAAGAACAGGTGAAGCTTTAGAGGCAAATAAAAAGTATAGAGTAGATATGTGGTTCCCATGCCCAGATATTTTGATTTGTTTTTTTGGCGGGGAGGACATTTAAAAATGCTCTAGGTAATCCTAGTGTGAAGCTAGGATAGAGAAAGGGAAGGTGAGAAGCAGTTTAATGATTCATAGCTTTTAAAAATTTAATTTCATTGAGGACAAATGGGAGTAGGAAGCTTAACTAATTGGAATGACCATATGGCATTGACAAGGATCCTTGATGAAACTAGAATACTCAAATTTTTAGTGAAGAATCTCTGGAATAAAACTATTTTCTTCCCCAGTACTCAGCAGTTTAGGAGCAAGAGCATCCTCTGTAGGGACAAAGCTGTTTGCTTTATTCTATGAAGTGGACTAGGCAAATATTCTGACAGCGCTAACGAGAGTATATTTGAAATGTATAAATGTGAGTTAGAAGTTGGATAGGGGGTCAGAGAAGCCATGGGACAGTGATAAACTAGGTGTGATACAATTAAGCTAGATTTTCTTTCTTTCTTTTCTTTAATTTTGTGCTTACTTTGCATGTTGCATTAGTTTCTACTATACTGCACAGTGAATCAGCTATACATAAATACATTCATACATACATACATATTCCCTCTTTGTCACCACAGAGCATGCGTACTTTGCTATCTCATTAGTTATCTATTTTATAGATTTTCATATGAGGTTTTGTGTGAAAGGGGGATGGAGTTGAAAATTAGGAGGTTGTAAAGGGTTGATTTAATAAATAAGTAAATTGCTGATGTATAGTGTAGATGATTGTTGGCGTAATAGAGAAGCTTTATGAGTGATAAGGCTGGGGTCATTTGTACACTATACACATGCATATTGAAATAACTCAGGATTTTAATGGAACTGGAGGGGAGAAACAGT